CGACAATTGTAAATCAATTAGAGAGGGTGGTCTCGCGGGGTGTAATGGCTACCCCCGCCCACGTGCTATACCAGGGCCGGAGTTAAAAGATTGTAATATATTTACAGACAATATTATAATATATTATAAAGGTAAAACCAAATCAACATTATTTATTATCTGTTTTCCTGTTTTTGTCAGACTGCGTAATCCGCATCCATTTATATATATATTAAATAAGAATTATAACTATAAACCTTTAGTCCTCAACGAACGAACCATTTAGTTTCTTTGCTATATCTTACATTCTTTATTTTTTTTTTTTAAAAAAAGTTACATTATATAGCAAATGTGTATAAATTTCTAATAAAATACAATTTCAATATGGTAATTAAACTGGCACTCGTGACCTGAGGCGTTAATTAATTAATTAAGAAACTGCGGCGTTCCTCTCTGGTCTCTATAGGTATTCATAGTGGGGAATGTTCAAGTGCATATTGTGATCTACGCAATACACCCTCCTTCCTCCACCCTTGCTCTTCACGTCTGATCCAGGAGCTCTGTCTTCGAAGAGTCGTGAATTGCATTAACTGTTTAATTATATGTAAAAAGAAGAGAAAGATGTGCATTGCAGCAGTTTCATATGAGATGATAAACAATAGTAAGCAGGAAAAAACTACATAATTTTTTTTGCGTAAAGTTGGTAATTATGGAAATTAACTGTTTCTAGTTGTGTAATATTTAAATTGTATCACGCATAAGCAATTTCAAGGCAATAATAATTCTATAATAAATTTTCACTTCAGCGAAATTAATATTTTTTATTTTATTTATTAGTTTTATCTAGTCATAGTTGTTTATTTAATAATAATATTTATATATGTATAAATAAACTATCAGTTTATATATATATATATATATATATATATATATATATATATATACCAGAATTTCTCAAACTACACATAAATACACTACACATAAACACATATATAGGTTTTCAAGATCATTGCGATCCTTAAAAAAACTGATTATCAATAGAACAAAGACGGCGTTTTATTAAAAATAGAAGTACAAAAGAGCGATAGATCAATGTCATTTTTATCGCTACTCGGAGAAATTTTGCTTTGTTTTATTTTGATTATTTGATCGCCTATATGTAGTTATGCCTGTATTAGTGAAGAATATAATTCACTGTGTGAAATCAAGTGTGAATCAGTCAAGATGTTGCCATTACGTAAATTTTATTGCATACTTCTATGTTTAACTTGTGTATTACAAGTGGTGAGCGTAACTCACTTTGAAACACTAAAACTCTGTGAAACCCTGATATAGACCAATTGAAACCATGTTTTAATTATTTATGAGAACATTAGAATTTACCAATAAAGACTTGCACCTGTCACATTAGATATCATAGGAAGTAAAAAATATTTTTATTTATTTTTATTGGTCTTATTTTTTATTTTTGTTTTCATGACTATAACCATAACAAGATAATATTTAAAAAATTCCTGGCGCTCTAAGTATTTTAATGAGAATATTTGTTTTACTTTTAATTTTAGAATATACATACCTTATCAATGCATTACTTTTAAATGTAATATACCGTCAAAGACAAAGTTGCCAAGAGCAGTAGAACTATGAAGTGACGCTATGACTGCGTTAAGTCATAACTCAGAGTTAACGTTATAAGAGAGTCTTATACTTTAATATTTATTTTTTCTTTTTTTACTCTCTTACTTGTATTAATAAAAGTGGCGAAAGCAAAGTTAATATATTAAAAGATAATATATAGGTAATTGACTACAAAGTACATTTATAACAGAACCCCCAATATCATCGAACCCAGTATTCAAAATGGCGTAGGTACTAAAAGCTTTAACTCTATTTAGTATAAAGTTAAACGACAAAATGACGGTATCTATTATCGGAGCGTAAACTCACAGGGACTAAACAGTAATTACTACATTTTGAGTGACGTCACATAATTATAGACACAGTATTTGGGGTGCATTAGCGGAACAATGACAATGTCGTGGCGCGAGGAAGCGCGGGACGGCGCGGCTTCCATTACGGGGGCGAAGTTTTAACAAAACAGTTATCTAAGTTTTTATCTTTATAAATTATGATTAAATATAGCTACTAAAATGTTAGGCTTATTAATATATCATATGGCCAACATAGTTCTGATAGGAAATATCAACGATTACCACAGGTATACATATTTATTATAAGTTACTGACAGTTGACAGCAATTGACCATAGGGGTTTTCTTCCCTATTTTTTTGTATATGTTTTCGCCCTAAATGGTAATTTAAAAAGTTTTTTATTAGGAAATTATTCATCAGATTTGATTCTACAATTTTAATAAAAACATAAAATTATTGGGTAGGTATTATTATACGTATTATTGTAATATTCATATTTAATTATTCCTTTTTTAAAACTATACCTATTATAAAACATAACATTCACAAAAAAGAAATTACAAAAAAATACAACCTCTTGGTGCACAGACGGATTTATCTGTTGGAAAAATTTCGTTTATTTAACGAGAACCAAAAAAAAGAAATAGTCAAACGTAATGGGGTTATCTACATGCGAAATATACATATTATTGTATAGCATATAAAAATAATATCTTCTTTTCTCGGCCATCATATAAGTGAATAATTAGATCGCTAGTTGGATTTGACGTGACTGTTGACGTCGCATCTCGTGCGTCAGTCTGGAGCTAAACGCATTACCAGGGAACCGATAGATGCAGGGGCCGTTTCCACTTGGTTATGCCTTTTATGCGACGATTCATTACTGACGTCGCTGTGTCGTTAAATAGGGGGCGCGAACAGATAGCCACATTTATTACTTTTGTCAGCGTAAAAATGAATTTACACTCCGATGATTTTGGATAGCGCGATTTGTTTGTTGGTTTTGCCGCATAAATTATGTCATATTGTACTTTTAATAATGTATGGTTTTATTTTATTATATGCGTAGAAATGTTTATAATAAGATATTGTTTAGCGACAACTCTTTCGCTATGTTGTCATTTTCACACCTATATGTCACAACTATACGTTGATGATACATCTATGATGGGGTAATCAGAAGCAATTGTTGAATGTTCGTCGTTGTGTAAAATATAATATTTGACAAATTTACATTTTGCCAAATATATTAAAGTTTAATATATTTATTAGGGTATTTTTTTAATTATATTTAACCCACAAAATTCTTGCAGAATTTTATTTCAAGACCGTGAATATAATTTAATATTGTATATCACTAAACATTAGTAGCAATTCAACGAATTGAATATAAAAAAAATTACATCAAAATTAAATAATAGACTACAATTAAGTGACCCGTTATACTATAAAATTGATTAATTTGGTTAAAGACAGATGTGAGGAAAAATAGATCTTAGAAGTTGGCACTACTGACATGCTTGATAATTTTTTCCAATATGTAGTTCTTTATACATCAAGATATAAGTTACATCTGGTTCATTCCCATATCTATTGCCAATATTTTTTGTCTTTGATATTATGACCATCGATTTTAAATTTTTACAGTTTTCCATATGTTCAATTAATTTGCAAACAATGAATCGTAACAACGTGTAACATTAAAGATAATTCAATCCGCCAGCATAATGCTTGCTTTACACCCAGCGCTATGTAGAGTGTTTACGCTAATTTTAACTATAACATCAAATGATTTATGGAGAGATATTGAAGAATATAACTTAATATATCTACACATATATAAACATTTAGATATAATAAAGTAGACCATATGAGACTTTTAGAAATAATACTATTATTTGTTCTAGCTTTTGCCCGCGATTTCATATGCGTGGGTTTTAAAAGTAGGAAAGGCAATGAAATAGACCCCTTTTAGGTGGCATATTAAAATAAAATGTACACCGGATTTAAACTTTGGTCTTCAGAAATTCAATTCTTCCTCTTCCAATTTGATGTAGTAGTTTTCCTTGATCTGTATAAACATACAAACAGACAACATTCTGATAATTGCTGTTACCCTTGATGTCAGTTTTTCTTAAATGTCTAAATATTTTAAATATATAGACATCGTCTAATTGCAATTTTATAACATATTTTTATGAGGTTTTTATTAAGTTTTTGTATTCTTGAATACAAGTTATTAACTTTACAGTACTAAATTATAAATGTTTGAATATGATATAAATCAATAAATAATTAATCATATAAAAGCAATATCGCTAAAAATGATAGAACGCCACGACGATATTTATTTACAGAGTACCTACACGAGTGTTGCAGGTGCAAATTCACTTGTCGTCCTATTACAACGATAGCGCTTTTAATTCTATTTCCCTTGTCGATGCGTCGACTTCAATACATTTTAATTAAAAACAAAATGAGAGCTGAACATATCTAAGTTACTACATATGTAGGTATAGATCGTAATAGAAACATTCTTCAGATCTAGTGTTTTAAATTTAAATTTACTTTTTATTAATTTATGTATTAATTTTTACCAGTGATTTCGTTTAAATGTCAAAGTTACGAGTATACGAAATTAAATGTGAAGCATTTATAATTTTATTAATTGGAAATAATTAGTATAAATTACTGTATAAAATACTGAATTAATTAAAGACCGCTACAAATCGCATACACATGCGCATATTTATGAAAGTAACAAACAATGATGATCATATGGTTATTTGCCAATTCTATGAGAGTTTTGTAATAAGTAGTAGGTAATAGCATCAATAGTAACACCTTATAGCTCCTTCGAGCCTTTCCACTATAGTATTTGAATCAGTGAATTAATCGGATTACCTTAGATTTAATAGTTACGAGTGCTTTATGTTTCACAGTTGAAATAGTCGACGCTTTTATTTATTCAGGTAATGTGAGCAAACCTATAGAACATATTGCTGAATTGCAATCCCGTTTAAATTTTTGTAAAAATGTTAAAATAATATTTATCTATATGTCATTGTTAATAGAGTTTGTACATTTCAGAAACGCCCAGTATGAAAACTTTCATGTGGACCAGAAGGGATACGATCAGATGTACGATGGCGAAGATCTGGAAACTCCACCATCTCCCGATCGACCTCCTCCGCGACCTATAGGTTTGTTACGTTCTGTCATATTTAAGAGTACACATTAAATTATAATTTTGATATACTATTATTTCGTAAAAACCTTATTTAAATTGCTTATTACTGTTTATTTTTAGTAAATTATAAACTGCTGTGTTGTTTATACATATATATCTACAAACGGGATGCGATTATAGGTAACTAGTACCTTTATACCTACCTAATTTAATGTCATGATACAGCGGCAATAAAAATCAGGTGTGTTCGTATTATTTACCTGTGATTGGGTCGCGTTAAGTCTCCAATCATTAATTTAAATACTGTTTATTTATGTTGTAATAATTTGTTAATTATTACAAAGTTTTAAAGCTTTATTTAATGTGTTAATTCTTATAATATATCCATGTTATAACGATAGTAAATAATAAACTTACTCCTAGGAGAATAATTGTTTACAACAGAAAAATCTTTTCTGTACAGACTAAACGTTTCACATCTAGTGCCTAGTGTACTGTAATATCTGTGGCTTTTATTCTGACTCAATCGAGATCGAACCTGAGTTCTCATTTGGAACTATATTTTCTGGCATAGAAAAAAAAAACATGATAATCACAATTTTATATAACTATTTTTTTAAAACAGTAAACTGAATAATGATTTAAGAAAAAAGTAATTTAAAAAAATATTTGAATATATTTTACATTATAATTGTGATTATTTGTATATTATGTAAGAGTAGGAGTGTGTTGTAACATGTAGTTCTCAATAAATTTCAAAATATGTTTTTTTTTCTGAAAATAGATAAATATGTCCGCGCCGAGTGCCCCTGCCTTACAGCGCGGTACACTGTTGCTCTGCTCGCATGTTTCGGTTTCAGTATAATGTTTGGTATGAGATGCAACATGAGTATGGCAAAGCTCAAGATGACCGAGAAACATAATGTGAGTACTAAATGCCGGTCTTTTCTTAATGAGAAAAGTTTAAAAGTGCTTGAATGAAGATTGTTTGAAAGAAACTTCTTGACTGACCGCTTTGAATTGGAAATTCTGTTGGAGGTTTAATGAATAACTTATTTTTTGTACATATATATAAAAAGATATTTTCGAGAGTTTTTATTTTGTATTATGTTACCTATTTATGTTAAATTATTATCTTAAATTATCTTAAATTATTATTATGTGAATTAGAGGTCTCAAACTTACGGATCTTTCAAAATAATGAATAAATTTATAAAATTTTTAAATAATTTTAACTTCATTTAACTTTTTTTCAGACTTCGTCTGGTGTCAAAGAAGATACACCTTTCGAATGGAATGTAGAAGTAGAATCGTCAATAGACTCGTCATATTTCATTGGATACCTCATCACTCAAGTACCCGGGGGCTTTCTTGCATCTATGTATCCAGCAAACAAGATTTTCGGTGCCGCTATTGCCATGTCGGCTCTTTTCAATATGGCGATACCTGGCGCCATGTCTATAGGACCCGCTGCTGTTGTATTAATAAAAGTTGCCCAGGGATTTGTTGAGGCAAGTTATTTTATAACATATTTGTACGTTTTTAGTTAATTCTAATTAGTTTTATTTTACACCTATTAACTAGTCACTTGAAATTGTGAATTATTTTTATTTTACGTAATAAACATGTCGGAGGGTAGAAATGAGGATGTAACATATGATGTTACATCTTCGTTTAAATTTTGGGACATTTGGCATTCACTACGTGACTGTGCATAATCATGCTTATTATTGATGCTTCAAATTTTGAAACCAACTCCGTATAAAATGTACGACACGTCACGTTTGGATTCAACACTCCCCTTCGTTTTGTACTTTGTGTAAACTAAATTCTGCATTTATTTTGTACTGCTTATAATCTACTTACTTGTCTTTTATTCTTAGCATAAATAATTTGATGTTTAAACTAAAGACAATTTGTTGTTATAAGTAGATAAAATGATGATGATGATGATAAGAATAGATATATTGGTTTAGATTATATAATTTTGATTTCTACGTGATATTCGTCGATTTATCGAATATCTTTTGATACCGATCTTCAATTGCAATCGTCATCATCGTTTCCCGGAGTACAAAGCCTCTTTAGGATTATCAAACCCTCCGTTGCTATGGTGACGTATTTGCTCCTCCGTGTATCTCAGCTTAGCTGATTCGTCAATGCCAGTACTATATCCTATTGAATATAGTATTGATCGTAATATTCTTTGAAATTATTGTATATTCAGATGTTCTTATTATTATTTTTAATATATTTTTGTGAATTGTTGCGTTAGTAATTTATATCATTAGAGTGTAAAATATCATATTTGAAAAGATTATTAAAACGTGTAACAAATAAATGCTTGACAAACGTAACCTCAGCGAGACTTACACACATCGTCATAGTCGTAGAATACTGACTGATCTGACGAATATTACATATAATGATCCGTCAGTATACTACGACAATGACGACATTATATTTAAAAATATGATTGAGAAATATTTATTTGATAGTATTTCTTCTATGACTGAAAACTTTCATGGACCAGATATATCTCTTAGCATACGTTATTTATGGTACAGAAGTTACATAGAAATTTAACTTCTGTACCATAAATAGATAAACCTAATAAGCAAAATAACTACTAAACATATGCCTACATAATACTCGTCGTGCCTATTAAAAGCATCGTGAAAGAGTTTATTATCAAAAGATTTACCTATCAAAATTTTTTTGTGTGATTTTATTTTAGGGTGTCACATATCCATCGTGTCATGGTATCTGGAGAATGTGGGCACCACCACTGGAGCGGTCTAGGCTAGCTACCCTGGCCTTCTGCGGTACTTATGCTGGAATTGTCATTGGCATGCCTCTCTCGGGTTTACTTACCGATTACATTGCTTGGCAAGCCCCATTTTACTTTTATGGAGTATCTGGTGTAATTTGGTGAGTATTTCTCCAAGCGTTCTATGAAAATAAATGTATGTATCTACAACTATGTTCTTAAATGGGATACTCAGATGTGACTCTTATCTTTATAGTGAATCTATTATTTGACTTTTTTAAAATTTAAATTTATTATTATTTGGGTTTGTTATCACGTTTTATCAACGGGAACATCTTTGAAAATATAAATTATATACACACGAACAGTTTTAAATGACATACCAATTTTTTTCTTTTATTTACTTATTTAAATAAAATTGTTAACTAAAAGGGAATATGGTACAAAAGGTAAACTTAATGCTAGTAGCATTTTCTACCAGTCAATCTTTGAGATGAACAGTAAATTATGAGCGCGGTACTTTATTATTGGTATAGGTAAAGAAAATTATAGCAAATAATATCTACCTATTCCCAATTATTAATATATACATAATAACATTATTCACTTATAAATAAGATTATCGACAGATTTTGTTGGTATAAGTTCTTATAAACTAAATATAGTGAAACATGGCGCAAAATTTCAAGCGGTTAAATTGTATAATAAATTACCCACTGCATTAAAAACTATTAAAGATTGGAGAATTTTTAAAATAAAACTTTATACTCTTTTGTTGGAAAGGTGCATCTACTCAATTGATGAATTTTAAAATACTCTTTCATTATTTTATGCCTTACTGATGACTTTTAAATTGATTGTAATGTTATTTTTTGACAATTATTATTGGTTATTTTGTTGTTTCATGTTTTTTTTTTGTTTTGTTATATTTTACGATATCTTCTTGTCACTTGCAAAAATATTCAACACAATGCAATATTGTAACGAATAAAATAAATTGAATTGAATTGAATTGAATTGAATTCTGTAAGTGCCTGTAAGTACTGAAGATTGGTGAATATAACGATGATCTTATATATTTTAATATAGAGAGTATAAGTACAACTAAATATAACGATTATTAAAATATGTGGCTACGATACTTTTAATGACAAACAAGCAAACAAACTGACAGCTTACCTAATAGAAAGCGATATCTGTCGTCTGTACATAACAGTCACCATGAATACCATAGACATCACAGAATACTCTGTAATACTCCTGGTAGCCTTCATGCGTTGCCATTCTTGAGGACTATAGTGTATTTTTTTTGAGTGAAAATGGTGTGGTAACCCCGTTTGCGCTAACGGGATACGCTGGCGGAGCACCAGTGAATTGTGATAGATGAGAATGAAAACAGGGCAGTTAGCCCATCATGATGAATTCGTCAGGAATTAACCGTGATAGTTTCCAGGGGAACCGCGAGGAGGTCGACTTGGTTGGGTATATTGCTAACAATGAGATTCTCAGTCTCTATTACTAACAATCCCTTTCCCCCCGGCCTATAGTGTTATGCCTCTTTTAATTCACCGCAAAAAGTGGCTTACTGAACCGAATTACAACCATGCAAGCATAGCTCTTTCGCGGCTGAAACATAAAACAAAAATGGTTCTTACGGTAAGGGTGGGACAAAGTCTACGGAAATACCTTTTGTACCAATTTCCCTCTGATGAAACCATTTATTTTTCTGCTAAAGGTATGTAATGTGGCTATGGCTTGTATTCGAGCGCCCAAGCAAACACCCCCATATTTCTGGAAAGGAACTGACTTACATTGAGCAGTCATTGGGAACTGCTACGCAAGCCGCCATGCCTGGATTTTGGGCTACACCATGGAAAGCGTTTGCCACATCGCCACCAGTAAGTTGTAGTTTACTTATATCTATCGAATAAAACAGTTCATCATATTATAATACATTTTGTTTGTACCGATCTTTGATGGGAACAATAAAAAGTTTTCATTCATTCATGTTATACAATGCCATCCAGTCTCTCACTAAGCAGAGTTCATACTATAGGCAATGGACAATTGTCCAATATTAATGTGTTCTCTATTTAAGTATATCTGTCATTTGATTGACTTCAATAGGATTTAGTAGTCTAATGGAAATTAAATCATAACTTTAAAAAAGTTCTTTAATCTGTTAGCCAATACGAGACGGTCGTCTCAGCGAAAGTCTATTATTAAATAAAGCTGTAGACTTTATTTTTAATTAATTAGGTTTATCAATAAGACAAGGAATATTAATTACTGTATTTGTTTTGTTTTAGGTATATGCAATTATTGTAGCAAACTTCTGTAGGACATGGAACTTTTGCTTGCTAGTTATTTTTCAATCCGCATATTTCAACACAAGGTTCAATATGCAAATTACTGAGGCAAGTATTCATGTATTTTTTTTAATTCTATACGAGTAGGTATATCTCCTCGTATATTTATTTTAATAGTGTACCTTGTTTTTTGATAACATTGAGATGGCAAATTAATATACGGTCCGCCTGATAGTAAGCGGTTACCGTAACCCATGAATGTATGCAATGCTAGGGCATTATGTGTTCATTACCGATCTAGAGAAACCGATCAAAAAAGGGGTAAAGATCCTTTTTTGAAGAACCTCATGCTGTAATTTATTAGAATATCTTAACAGGGAGCTTATTACATAATGTATGTATTCAATATATCATGTTCTTGTAACAAAAAAATGTATATTCAAAGAAATATGTTTTAAACACGATAGATAATTAAACAAAAATTGAATTGAATAAGCAATAAATATATTTATTTGATAAATAACATAAAAAATATGGATTGGGTTAGTAATTTATTTCTGATCTTAAACCTTAACGTTTGTTTCCATTTCATCGCAACAATTAATTAAACTGAGGGCGACTATACAAAAGTTGTCTCCATGGGTGCTTTTATCCTACTCGTGTTTCTGAAGCTAGGCAGCTGTGCCTGCTTGGCTGTATTTCGGTTTGAAATATAGGATATGGCTGTAAAATTACTGATTGATAACGCGTGCTTCATACTACCAATACATGAAGAGTACCACGAGCTTCAATATTTAGTAGTTTGATTTCATATTTTTATAACTTTTCGTTCGGTGAGTCGTCAGCCATCATATTTTAAAAATAATTCTTTTAAAATTTTAAATTGAAGGTTAATTATGTTCTATTTATTAAGTGTATTTTATGTTAGTCATCTATAGCATTAGAATAGTACATTTTTTTAATTGACCTCCTTAACGTATTGTGTTGTAAATTCATTGTTTATATTTTATTTGTAGTCTGGATTCGTAGGGGCGATACCTCATTTGATAATGACGTCGTTAGTGCCCATTGGCGGTATGCTAGCAGATTACCTTCGCAAAAACAACATCATGACAACTACGAATGTAAGAAAACTCTTCAATTGTGGCGGATTTGGTCTCGAAGCTTTCTTCTTTGTTCTTGTGGCTTACGCCAATAACAAGGTATTTTGTATTTATTGTTATTTTTTATATTTCTATAATGATTTGTATGTTTATTTCTAAATAGCACACGGACGAACAAATATGTATGATATTTTCTTACTACAAATACCCTAGTGAAATAATATCATTCGTGACAAAAGTAATAAGGGACCAATCAGGGAGAGCCTATCGATTAAAAAATTATTCTTTCAGAATTAACACGTAATATATATTTAATTTTTTTTAGTATTTAATGAACTTATAGAATAGCTGAAATATTATTTATATTCGTTTTTACCCGCTACTTCATTTCAATGATCTAAATAAAAAGTAGCTTACTAGTTTTATATCTTTCCTTGTCTCAAATTCTATGTGTATGATAAATTTTATGACCATTGGATAAACAGTTAACGTACTAAGAGTTAATATGTATTGATATTAACTTTTTTTAGTATAAATATTTCCTTTTTGTCTAGTATGTGGCAACCATAGAATTGACGATGGGAGTGGCATGCAGTGGTTTTGCCATATCTGGGTACAATGTAAACCACTTGGATATCGCGCCTCGATATGCTTCTATCTTGATGGGTCTATCCAATGGCATCGGAACCATCGCTGGCTTTCTCGTACCGATTGTTATAGACTATATGACTCAAGAAAGGGTAAGATAAATTTAGATTTTTAAATTTAGTAAGAAACTCGTATTGTAATTATTTATAACGGCTAGTCTAACACAGTGCTGTCAAATAGGGTATTTTTTTGCAATTTAGGGTAAAAAATTACCTGTTCGCAAAATTTTGGAGAAATAAAATTCTTGGAGAAATGTTTGGAGAACAGTGAAATGTACTGAAAAAATTTAGAAATTTTTTATTTGATAGTTTTTGTAATTGTAAAACGTATATATAAATTATATATATGCTTTGCGATAAGACCGCCTTTTATATCACTTTTCATTAATATTTAGTGTAATAATTTTTTTTTTACTTGGTGCAATAAAGTGTAAAATAAATAAAAATGAATTTTGTATAGGTTAACATTTGTCAGGATTGGGTATCTAAATTTTGAAGACAAATCCTAATGTAATATCTGAGGGTTATATGCGATACCTATCCTTTAAATTATTACCTATTTAAAATTAAGTACATAATATTTGTATTTTGATTATACTAAAGCTTAAATAGGCAGCTTATTTCAATAACCAAATGAGGTTGTTTTTTCTTTGATAGTCGTCGGGCCTTTTTCTCGACTTTGAAGTAACGCGTTTTATTAAAATTTTGAAGAGAGTTCCCCTCGAAACTAGGGTATCAGTTTCGTAGACTTCGACGAACTCCCGCGAAACAAAAAGGACATTCGGCCGTGGCTAATTTAAAAAAGGAAATCGAGCTCGATATGACGCGCGTGCTGAATATCAAATGAATAGCTTTGTGGGTGCGCGCTGATGCGTTACGCTGACTATATTTCGCGCTGAGCACTTTATTATCACCCACACCCGACTTTTCGCACGAATGGGTTTGCATTCTATACAAATGAAGTTAGTGTAAAAATTCTGAAAGATTTTGATACGTACATCTTCTATATGCATCTACAATATTCTTTATTGTATTTCATAGGCATCTAAGTTACAAAAAAATAGAACTAAGGATAGGAGTATGTCGGGATACATTTTTATTAGTTTTTAAAATATAAAGTATGGTAGTTGTTAGAGGAGCTATTGTAGAATAATATGTTGTTAACGACTCAAATATAATACGTAATTGACTTTTTTTGTGGAGAATATTATAAGATAAATCAACAGCAATAAGAATTTATTCATTGAGGTAATAACTGAATAAAAACAGTGAATTGGTTTTAATATTATTTAATTATTTAAAAATTCTCATAGTATCTAAGATTTTTGCTTCAATTTGATTTACTTTCCTCTTGATATTTAGATAAAAAAGGATTTATTTTTAGCAAACATCCAATTACATTGTTCTCTTTTTAAGTTTAATGTTTTAAATAAAAAATGAAAAAATCTGAACTAATAGATTTGTTATTTTACTTGTTTAGTACAAGCTAGAGAAAGCGATTACTGAGTGGCGTGACGTATTCCTCATGGGGGCGACGGTGCATTTTATCGGCATTACTATTTATGGTATTTTTGCATCTGGTGAGCTGCAGCCTTGGGCAGAACCCACTCCGCCCTATGATCCACCCGTCAAGTCATTGGATCATGAAACTACGTTTGTAAGTAAAGAAAATTGTATCACTACAACTTTTTAACGTCTGGTCTAAAAAAATTATTAGCTTATTATAGGCATAACTTGGTGGATCATATACATGTAGATGGAGTTGGACCACCGAGTATCAAAAATTATCCCAACAATGTTTAGCCAAAGGCGGTGTCAGGTGAAAAATTTAGGCCACTTTTAACAATTCTGATTACGAAAGTGAGGGGGAAGTAATTGTTAGTAATGTGAACTACTAGTAGTATTGCTTATCAGATCGATTTCCACATGAGTCTCACTGAAAATCATCGTATTATATTCCAGATGTATTCATCACGATAAGCTAACTGGCCTGCCGTTTCATTCTCACCTTTCGTCCCTCGCTTTATTATCATCCATTAAAATGACTACGAATACGAAATATGATTTGGCTCGTTATAAAAATAACATATGTATTGATGCTATTGTAAACTGCTTATATATGAATATCCATATGGAATGGTAATTTTTTGTCTAGACGGAACCTCTAAAAGGAAGTGAACCTCCCGCATACGGCGCTATTGCACCCCCACGCCCACCGGCGCCCCAGCAACATGTCCCGAATAATCCTTTCGTTTCTGGAGCCTTCTACCAAACTGAGCCTGTCCAGCCACCGGCGGAGCCTTATCAAGACCTCACTGATGACGGTACATACTAGACCCGTCTTGAATCCTGCGTAAGTATCAGTCATTCATACGAAAGTCTCTGACTTTTATAGATAGGTAGAAAATTATTATTGTTCTTCTAATGATTTAATAGCTTGTAAAAATATCAATAAAATAATTTAATGTAATATTAGCTTGATATCATATTTGTTTACCTGTTTTCAAAATAATAAAAGTTTAAATATAATTTGTAAAATTTAAAATGTTTATACATTGATGAAAAACATGGTGCGTGAGGATTGAAGGCTATATCGTTGAATATACATATTCTTTTTATTTGTGTATCTGGTATGTGTATTGATACTTCTGTAATATTTGTAGTGATGAGTTGTAATAATAAAATTCAATACGATTGGCCTTTGAGCGACTAAGACACCTAATATTCCTTAAAATTGTTTATTTTATTAAGTAAATATTATATAAAGTGTTTAAGAGAAAGCCTTCTTACCCACCAATCGCAAGATAGGAAAAATTTTAATTTCCTTTAGCTTTTAAATGTTTCATATTAATCTATTCTAAGTATTTGTTATTAATGTTATTAATTTTTATTATTTCACTTGTACATGTGTATATAAATTACATTGGCATATCATCTGTATTATGAATGCTTTATAGTCCGTTAATAATGTCTTTTAAATATACGTAATAACTCAATTTACGCTGGAAACCTTCATTATTATTTCTATATTGTTAGTTAAATACCACAATTATAATAAATTGTTAGTTTTAATTTCTTTGAAACTTGTTCTAAAATGTTTATATAATATTTAAGACATTATAACTGTTTAAAATTCAGTACCTACTGTATTCAATCACTTGTACCTACTTATATTGAAATAGAAGTAGGAAATTAATGAACATGTTAATTACTAAGGGAAGTAATGTAATCATTAAAAATATTTCAATTTAATGCTGTACCTAAGCATATATGACACAACAAGTCTTCTAGTCATTTGATGTTAGTATTATGAGTATAGTCAACGGAAAGTTTTTAGATATTTTTATGTGTTAATCAAGTAATGATTTTTCAGAAATTAGGACTAATTTAAATTATTAAAACTCACATTTCCCTTTTGTCCCAAGATTTATAAATAATATATAATTAAAGATTTAATGTAAAAGTAAAATTAAATACTTCTATAGCTTGTCAGTAGTAGTAGTTATTTACATCTATTTAGGTTCAAAACCATTTATGTAATCTACAGATGTTGTTGGTGAAATATATATATATATATATATATATATATATACATTATATTATATATACATGATACAACTGATATCGCTTACTAAGCGTATATAAAATTTTGGATTATTAGAATATGGCTACTGCTTCTAACTATTTTTTATGGCTTTAACATTAAACTTAATTTACTACAAGTATCTAGAGCAAAAATCGTTTGTTCAACATTTATTTTTCTATTTGTTTACAATAACTGTATTATGGACAGACCAAAGAAATCTCTAATTGACCAAATAAAATAATGTTAATTAAAAAAGATTACAGGATAACTAACAACTGAAACGAATAAAATTGACTTTAATCCCTCAGGTGATTTGATCTAAAAGTGATTAGCATGAACAATTAATCCAATTTTATAATAAAATTTTTTCATTTTCACATTTCTCCAGTGGTCATGAGATATTGAAAATAATCTTTTACATTTAGGACGAACACTGCTCGTCACATAGTACTTGTGATAATAAAGTAAAATTGTTGCTGTAAATATATAGAATTCGTATTGTCGTCTAAATAACCATTAGCCAAAATTATTGTTTAAGTAAATATGTAATAATGTTGTCGTTTGAAATAAAATACTGTCTGTTAAACTTCTTTTTAATTGCATCTATGCAATTTACCTATTTGCATTATACGTGTTAGTGTACAGCACGTAAAATAGTTTAAGATTTGCTTGTAAATAAATAAAAAAGTTATTTTAATCACTACTCTGGGTTACATGACAATAATGTCACTGCATATAGCACTAATATCATCCATCAGCACTTTATCTTTTTATTTATTGACAGTAGGAAGGGGATATCGACAATAAATTGTTATTAAATTAGTTTCTTAATACTTAGTTTAACTGGCCTAATACTGCCGGAATACTTCTACAAATTTATAATATTAAATTCTCACAACCAGAATTGATAAAATTAGGCAATAAAAATGAATAAACCAAAAATATAAAATATTAGTAGTGTAATACTGTTATTTTACAGACAAATAATATTATAAATTCAAAAAAGATTTCCGGCTGTATATGGTCAGCTTTATAGCGAGTGATCTAACTAATAAGGTGAATGGTTCAAATACAAAATGTATAAAAATTGACAATAAAGATCGACTGCAAGGATTTGAGACCAATAATTTCACTTGTTAAGAACGCACATAGGTTATGTTATATATTTATTATAAAAGATTTTTTAAATGTTATTTTATTTAAGAAATGAGATGAAGTAATTAAGAGACAACAAGATTATATTAATAAAAAGAATTTCATCAACACTGATAACATTACGTCGGACCCAGGTATGGTAGGTATTGAGTGGAAACTCATTTTAAAGTTTTCAAAAAAATAATAAATAACAATTAACTATGCATATTAAAGTGTGAAAATTTAACTAAATATAATAGAATAAACTTTCTGAATATATTTTAAATATTTTATTGAACTAGGTATGATCTTGCGGAAGTCCATATCACTGGTTAAAATTATTTTGTTTAATTCCTCTACCATTTGAAGTTGTGTGACTGCCAAAACTCGAAGACTGACCACCACTATTACACTAACAGAAGTTCCCTAACTTTCCATATTAGCCAATCTCTAACTGCCATTTTGTTCACGCATGTTTTATATTTCACCTCTAAACGAGGTATTTTTAGGCAAGTTATTAGATCGCTGCTCAGAATCTAGTGTTAACTGATTGGCATCTAAACTGGGAATGACTAATTTTCGATTATATTTATATCTATTAAGTAAGGAAGCAGGATGACTGGCGATGTCTTGCAATGAGTCCTTGTGACAATTCGATACTAGTCATCGTATTTATCGAGGAGAAAATGGGTAGTTTTTTGAGATCTTATGATGTCTCTTTGCGATGACTGGGTTTCGAGGATAATTTTAAAATAGATGAATTGCTTACTACTATTTCTTAGTTCGTTTATGGTATATTGGACTAAAACGTGCGTGATTAAAATTGCAGTTGGAATTTAATGTTTAATATGGAAGGTCGTAGAATTTCTGGTAGTAATAATAGTGGTCAATCTTTCGCCGTTAACTTGGTTGTTTTCACACATGTTAATGGAAATAAACAAATTCTAATCAAATAACCAGTAATATGTATTTTAGTTACAGAATACCTACTTTCAAACTTATTACAAATAATGCTATGATAAGAAATACTATTATTTATTATATACTTGTACTACTCGTGTGAAAAAAGTATTGAAACAATAAATATAAAAAAATATTGAATCCATTGGATCATCAAATTGGAAATTTAGTTCATACAATCGATCGTTGTAAATATAAAAAATTCTATTGCCACCTTTCAAATTAGCCGGCTACTGTGCAATTATAGCTCTGTAGCAGTCTTATACAATAAGGCTTCGAGATGTTTTTTCTGTCAGTAAATAAATACAGCGATATTATGTCGTGAATATGTACTTGAAGTGATAATATTTATAGGATATAAGTAAATATTATATATCCGTTATTTTAATGATTGCCTAGTATAAAAAAAAAATGTTGGACATGGGTGAAAATTATCATTGCCATTTATATATGTGATTTCATAAACTTTTATTCAATTAAATATTATTTATTTAAGTTGAACTTCTTTAGATTTTATCGGTCAATAACACAGGTAAGCTATAATTATACTCATTTTACGTTACTTTGCTACATTTAAATATAAAATTACGATGTTTGCTCTTGCGTAATATCTTACCCACAAAGTAATTACAATTTGTTGTATTTTATGTGATCTTCATTGAAATATATTGTTGTTTAATAGAAAAAACTTACATACATAATCTGACAGAGACAGACTAATCATAATTCCAGATCTGAAAATCATACTATTCTGCGTTTTATAAGTTGCATTACGCTATTCTCGAATGTAAATAGTTGAGACAGTGGGTACACGAGCATGAGGGCGCAGCGCAGAAACGATATATGTATTAAGCGCCTTACTATGAATAAAAAACTAGAATCAGCTGACTTCGTTAATTTGCGAGTAGTAGACTAATTCTGTTTTTTTTTTTTTAGCTGTAATATAAAGGTAATTTTGTTTTGTTTAACCTGAAGATAAATATAAAAAGAAGGCGGCAAAAACTAGCAGCTATGTATGTGGCGTGATCTTTTGCGAAATATGGAATTGAGATCGGTAATGCTATCTCGAAGTTTTTAAGTTTAAAAGCTTATTAGACAATGTGATTGAAAAAATATATGGTATATATAGTTATATACATTATTATTTATATCAAATCAAAGACAATGCAATGGTTTATCATAAACTAGTAAGTTTTAAAACACAACATTACATAGTTTACAACACAATTATTATTTAATATAATCTTACTCCAAAATAATTTGTAATAAATAAACTATATTTTTTATGTAGGCACTTGTTAGAAGACAAAGTTTAGAATTTTTATATATAGTATTTTGGTGATGTTGTATATGAACTGGACTTTTTTTAATTGGTAGGTATATAAATTTAATAGTAATAGTGTAAAATTTTTAAATCGTTGTTTTTTAAGAATCTCTACGCCGTCAATTCAGTGCTGTAAAATACTTTGAAGAAATAATATTACTTGAATGTGTAGTAATATGTGTCTCTATCTATAAATTAAACTTTTTTTTAGAAATAACAAACAAAATATCATTTTTAGAATAAAGGGCTTAAATTTTAATTATATAAATAATTTTATTATTTATACTTATTAAAATAAGTCTTAATAAAAAGCAGACGCATCAAGTAATGTCAAAATTAAAACTGAATTTGATTAATAAGATGAAAAAAATTGCTATTTATTATATTCTTTAATTGTTATTTTAAAATATCAAATTAAGGTTATTGTTTGTTATATTTAAAGCTACTATTTATTAAATATTTTACACTTATATCTATTTAAACTGCAATCATACATTTTCAAAAAGGTCGGGAAAAGTGCATTTAATTGGTATAAATATTATCATATTCATGATAATATTACGGATAATATATACAATAAATTTATTTTAGTGATAATTTTCACTATGTCCAAATACATGGCGAAAGGGTCTCCCAATCCACTTGTTAATGTACACCATCGTTTTTAATAGGTAGTCATTAAATATGTGTACTTGTAAGTTATCATAATAAATAATATATTTAAAAAATGTGATGGTACCATTTTTTTATATAAAATAATAGTCATACTTCCGAAATTCATATATCTCAAAAACTATTTAAATAACTGTTTATATGTGCCATTATGTTAGCAAGATGAAAAAAATATTAGTTACGATGTTTAAATCCTTAAAAAGCAAAATGCCAGCAAGGATTTTGCTAGATATTAATACGATTATAACAAATTCAAATTTCAATCATCAGATATCCAATAGTTGTAGATATATATTTTATCTACTTGAATCAATCTAAAATAGTTGTTCATATATATTGAACATTTATTAAAAATGGCAAAACTTACGGATATTATTCAACTAACAATTAAAAAAATAAGTTAACACTATCATAATATAATATCCTGTAGATTTTGCAACTTATAACAATAAAATCACGAAAGCTCATATGTAGTAATAATAATTTAATGTATTTTTAATAGTTTGATTCCAAATCTACTCGAAATATTTTATTATTATTGCCACAAAATGCGTTAACATAAAAAATATTGATATTTTCCACTTAAATGAATAATTCGGAGGTATGAAAAATTCTTAGTAGTTTCTAAAACTATTACAATTATAATTAGTTATTTGTTTCTGCTAAATCATCTAATTATAAACAACAATTAAAAATATTAACCAAATATTAATTATTTATTGATAGGATAAAATGGTAAGACAATAATTTATTATACGGGGTGATCTCACTCTATAAGGCTGTGTCGACAATAAAGCTTTTATAAGCGATTTCTAGTATGTAAAGTATAGATGTAAGTAACATATATATGATGATAATTATTTACTAGTATGTAAAAATAATAGCCCAGTACATTTTGAGCGAATGATTGTTTAGACAACAGATATAGCTTTGTCAATGATGCAGAGGGCTCAGTGTAACGAAAATATGTAAATATATCAACTTATTTTTATTTATTAGTTAGAGAGGCTAAGCTCTGACTGTATAATTAAAAATAAGTAGAAAATATTCATTATTACAGGGTAAGAGACCAGTCTTTGTCGAAATTCTAAGCCCTCTAGCTTTTGCCGTTAGTTCTGGGAACTTATGATTAAATTATCGGATTAAATCGGATATTTTGGGGTATAAGGCTTTCGCGTTTCGCCAAATAATTAGGTAACATTCTTTCCTACTGTCTGTCTTTATTACATACTATTTAATCATTTGGACTGTTTACGTTTCTTTAACATTTGCTAAAACGTTATTTTATATATGTCGTCGTAGTGTAGTGATTTGTATCTCATGTATTCATTGTATTTAATCTCCTAATCCCTGACGGGTTATTGTACATAGAACATCGACAACAAAATAACTTATTATAGAAATATTTATTTTTGTGCATGGACATACAGTTTACAAAAGAAACTCTTAGAAAAAAACGTTCTTGACTGACTGTTATTTTAAATAATTAAGGGAAATTATTGTTTCCATAAAAGAATGATACAGGTTATAAAGATTAACAATATGTACACAGGCAAAATTAATAATTAATTACATAAACACAAGATAGAGAGACAACAATGAGCAACATTATTGTTAAATAGCAATCGCTTCCAAGCAATTTAAGTAATTTTAGATAATTTACTAAATTTCGTCGAATGCGGAAACATTACCTTCAAGTATTAGTAGATTAAATGTAACATTTTTTATTAATTATAAATTTTAAATATTTTAATTATTTGCAAGTAAACTAGTCTAGCATAATCACTTAAAATCTGATGTAATATAATAAATAGTGCTAAAGTCCTAACATAATTATCTTAACGTTAGTGTAATTTTAGTATACCTAACTACAACAGCTAATTGTAGGTAAGTATTACTTGCACGGAAGCACTGATTTGTCAATTATTGATTAGACTCATGTTTAAGGATTTACGTTCAAGTCCTAAAGTTTCACCGCTGTACATATTGTATCGCTTTGTAATCCCTTCATTGCTTAGATTTTGTGTATGTTTTGTATTTTAGATGTTTTTGTTAAAAAATAATTATTTATTTATTTGAATATTGCTCATAAAATACTTCTTGTAATAGCGTTTTTGTACACCTACCTAATATAGAAAATGATTCAAAATAAAACCCTTAAAAGCGTAATGTTTGGTAAGACTCGTAATTAGCAACGCGAATTTAATGTTTTGTTAATAAAAGTTATAATTTTTAACCTTACACCTTAGCTATATTATATGTACCACAAATTTAAATAAGCAGATGTATAATAATGTATGAATTGATTTTAATCAGAGAGTTTATTATGAGCAATTTCTTTCCAAGATTGTACTTTACTTAACATATATTTTGGATATTACTTTAAAATACATTACAAATTCTGCAATACAACTCAAATTTTATAATTGTAGCACAAATAGTTCGTATCTTCGGTTTCAATCAGGCCTATAAAATTTTATAGAATGTAAATATTAACTTTATGTACATTATATTAAGGTAGAGTTTAAGGCTTTGAAATTACAGTAATTAAATAATCTAGGAATATAATCTGTTGTGTAATGGTAAGTAAATGTTTAGAAATGTATCTCTGCAAGTAATAATGTTAAAATAGGAAGAATATTAAAAAATACTGTGCATAGTTATTACGTACTTAGAAAAAAATATTTATTCTTGTATTAATTTCTGTTAAGTAGAAATGAGCTAACTTATGATTTATAGGTGAAATTTGTAAGGTAAAATGACTGTCTATAAATCTATTTTATTTACTTATTAGCTTTATTTTTTGTTTATTATTATTATTTTATGTTTTTTCCTTCGTTCTGAAGTCTATATTTGGCAGAAAAAAGAAAGTAAACTAACATACCTAATACAAATAAAAGTCAAGGTTCTTTATTTTTCTAAAAAACGGATATTTAACAAATAAATACAAACTCCTTTTATTAGCCAACTGCATTTTAATATAAGTCACATCATATATTAAAAATATGAATATTATTAATCATAATATATATACATATAATAATAAATATTGGGAAAATATGTACCCATAAGAATAAAGATTTTTAATTTCAATAAAATATTTATTGCTTTTAAGAATCGGTATAAATTGAGGCCTATAAAATCAAAGATAGCTACATCCAAGTCTGCTAAGTGTTCAGGAAATTACAGAAACTAATTTTTTTTTTCAAAAATATGGAACGATATTCTATGTATATTTGACACTAGATTGAAAAAAATTAGAATATTAGTAATAATTAGAATTTTAATTAACAGGGCTCTATATTTGAGTATAGAGTGAAAATGAAATCGATTTTATGGCGTTTAGCTGCCTTTGATTTTATAGGCCTTAATTATTTATTATTTTATTGTATTAATGATATTGTAATATAATGTATAAACTGTTCCTTGATTGGTATTTTCTTGTCATGAGTTATTAATTAAATGAACTTACTTCACTTATTAATGTAAATACAAAAGTTATGCATAATAAAGGATCAAGATAAATATGTTTTACATTTAAATGAAATGTATTCTATTACCAAATTAAGTACCTATACAAAAAACTATCTACAGGTACAGGTATGTTAATTTAAATAGATACTTAACATGCAGTCAGAATTGTTTGCATAATTCAACGTAGACTTTTGATGATGTAACATTTACTAATAAATTTCATATTCTTTAATATGACAACAGATTTTATTTAATTTTAGTGGATGTTAAAACATTAACGAATTATTTATTAATGTTACACAGTTTATATCAACATAAAATTTTTATTATTAGAATAAAACTACATTCTACAGCAGAATGTGTATAAGATGTTTTATATCTGTATAAAACATTGTTCTTTTTTCATTAAAAGAGCTATTTCCATCAAAATATGTAGAGTAAAACTTATCGTGAACATAATATGTTTTGCATCATGTAGATAGAATGGATGAAACAGAAACTAGGTAGCATTCTTTTCTAAAAAAGGAAAATTTACTCCTTTTCCAGTGGCATAAAAGTAGAACTTTCATGAAGATCATTCTGCTATTACGCACATTGTAAAATTCATATTCCATTAATTGTGCAGAATTTAGAAATATAAGTAATTTCATTCTATGCGTATTTATGAGTACACTAGTAGGTGCGTATACGTGAATTATTCTATAATATAAAATTGGAAATATAAGAGGGAAATGTGATGTTTTTTTTATATTAGTTTCATTAAGTTTCAATGTATATTAATTACTTCATTATTATAAACAACAACGAGAATATATATTGGACTGTAAATATGTAGATGTGAACATTATTATATATGTATTTATATATATGTGAAGAATTATATTCTTCAAGCAACAAACTTGTTGATGTGTAAGATAAATAAAAATATAATTATAGTTTATAAACTATTCATTTCTTAGTGGTTTTTAAGGGGTTTCTTTTAAAGTTATATTTATTGAATTGTGTTATACAATCATAATTTTAAGTATGAATTTATCTTTTTACATGTTACTGTTATATTTCAATACTTGATGTTTAAGGTCCAGTTATAACATTAGGTGTTATGTAACTACCTATGTTCTTTATTTATTATTATTTATACAAACAAAAAACTGAGTATATGTACCTAAAAATATTAATTCTAGAGTTATGCTAATTTAAGAGTTCTCTTTTGAAGGAATATCATGTATATACGACTTAAATTATTTCTTATTGTTAGTGTTAAAATTCTGAATGTCCGATTATCTTTAAAAAAATATTATAGAATTGTCTTTGAAATGATGACATTACCTTCCCTAATATATGTTTGAAAATTTATATCTTGTTTCATTATACTTTACCATACCAGCCGTTAACAGTCCACTGCTGGACGTATATCTCCCCCATCAGTGGGTGTTGGCAATAGTTGCTACGCTTGGCAGGCAGGTTGGCAATACCAGTTAGGCTTTCCAGAAATTTTAACAGGCACGCTGCTGTTCGTCCCTCGACCAATAAGTTTCCTTAGTCGCCTCTTTTATACCTACGACAAAGGGATGGGTGGTTCATTCTATGCTGAGGCCACAGGGTTTCATTATATACCTACTATAAAATAAGACCTGATATGTGTGTACTAGTATATATCTAAATGCAACAGATAACATTTAGCTTAATATGTCACGACACTGCAAGATTTTATCGTCACGATGTGAAAAAGAAAGTAAAACACTTATTAAAAAATAATACGAGTATCAACACGATCCATTTATTGACTTTAATATCCGGCAATCTGTCATATCAGAAAAATAAAATTGTCTTTGCACAATTTTATATATTTCCCTTTCAACGAAATTGTGCATTACTGTACCGTGTTCACGGAGAACCGATCTTGGTATATTTGATTTGTTAACATCAACCACAAACTACCACAACGTCTGTGGTAAACTTCATGCTTTGCAATATTATTCATCTATACCCTGCACTTTTACTGCCATATTCCTCTCTTCAAATGAAAACACAGCCGTGCATATGTAGATGTTTCTTGGCAACAACATGAGTAGGAAAGATGCTGAATACCTTTGTAACTACTCTACTCTAATTCTAGTGAGGGGCTGTTGTACTAAGTCTATAAAGATATTAATTTAATTACAAAAGTGTAATTAAATTAATCTGGTATTTAATTGGTTTTATTGAAAGTCAAGCAGGGATTTTATTAGGTACATACTTTATTTTATTATATTTACAATAGTAAAGAAACTGACGGCCCACCTGAAAAATAGTGGAAACCGCAGCCTACAGACATGAAATATAGTAAATTATAGTACCATAGACACCACAGAGAGTATATTGTAATGCCCATGACGCCTCTCATGCCTTGGTATTTCTGAGGACTTTGTTATGCCTCTGTAGCCTGTAATTTCTTTTCATAAAAATTACAGGCTAACAGGCTGCAGAAACTAGGGTAGGACAATGGTACTCAAATAGATGACTTTTATACCAGAGGGAGGCTCCTTCTGGTATACAAAAGTCGATTGCTTGGGTACCTCTGTCTCATTCGTGTTTCAACCGTAAAGCAGTTGTGTTTGCATGGCTGTGTTTCGGTTTGAAGGGTAAGATATGGCGTGAATTTACTGGGTACGGAGGAATAACACCTGTTATGTCCATGGTACATGTCTATAGGCGACGGTTACCACTTTCCATCAGGTGGGCCGTCAGCTTGTTTGCCATTTTAAGTTGTATAAAAAAAATACAAAGTCGCCTTTTGGTAAAGTTAATGAATTATTAAACAAAATTGTCGTTGGCTAGATGTTGTGTTATAAAATAATAAATAATAATAAATAAATAATAAATATATACGGACAAATCACACAGATTGAGCTAGCCCCAAAGTAAGTTCGAGACTTGTGTTATGGGATACTAACTCAACGGTACTATATTTATAATAGATACATATATAGATAAACATCCAAGACCCAGGACAATCAGGAAAAGATCGTTTTCCATCATGACCTGGCCGGGGATCGAACCCGGGGCCTCCACGTCGCAGGCAGGCGTGTTGACCGCTGCGCCACGGAGGACGAATTTATAAAATAAATTAAATATATATATATATAATATATATATATAATATAAAAATTTATAAAATAAAGACATGAAAAGTTTAATTTTATTTATATTTTACAATAATATCACAAAGTATTAACTATAATAAATTACTGTACACGGAGTTATTATAACAAAATATAAATTAAGATATAAACAACGAAAATCGTCATATATCGTCATTGGAATAACTGAGATGCCAAATCAATAATCAAATCTACATTATTTCATAGAGATTAAATTTAAAATGTCTGAGTTATTATTTTGAGTATTTATTTATCATATAATATATTTGTCCATCTGTATTCTGCTATTTGTTCTCATTATTATTATTATTAACTATTAGTATTAATTTTAGTCTTTTCAACCTAAGGTTGAACATTTTAAGCGTGATTGAGTAACAGAAATCCTTATAAAATAATTTATTACCAAAACCATCTCACAACCTATATCCAGTAGGCTAGATTGCACTCTTTAAATTACATAAGTATGCAAGTACTCTGTCAACCTATAATAAAATTATTATAAATTAATTCGGATTCTTATCTAATCTTACCTTTTTTGAGATTATAATATAAAAAGAAATGATTTGATTTTTTGTATATTTGTTTGTAATGGATACACTAAAAAAATATTTTGATCTAGTGAGTGTATTATGGGCTGTATCTTATATAAAAAAATTAGGTATCCCTAAAAAAATAAAAATAATGTAATTAATGTAAACCAAAGGAGCAAAAAATCACCCATAAAATTATTTACTTGGCGAGCACAGCGAAAACTATTGGTGATGTATAAAATAATGTACTACATGTTTATAGTACTTATCATAATTCTCAAAAAAATCTGCGAGATTATATGCCTAACTATTATAGTTAAATCACAATTACCATTTTTTTATTAACCAAAACACGAGGAGAATCGAAATATGATGACATGTAATATAATGTTATTTTATGTAACTTATATATAGTACCTTATCCAGATAGTTTTATAATTAAAGTCGATTAAAAGTTACGACGGGTATAAAAATGATAAACGTAAGAAAAATGTCGCGGTGTGGTTGGAGAGCTCTGTGCTTAGTATCTTTGTTACGTTTTATTTATCCAAATAAGGTAAAGATTTAAAATACTAATTTATCTTTCTATCTACCCATGCAAAGCCGGGACGAGTCACTTGTCATTAATATAATTACAGAAATAATTTATAATACAAAAAAATATTTATATTTAATATATATAGGTGTATTGAGTACTCCTAGTTTTCAATAAAAGTACTTTAAATAGGACTATGTTTCTTTGATTATTCAGAAATGAATTAAATATCTATACTTGAAAACATAATAGTACCGTAAACACTTTTAAATTATTAATGCACTAATATATAGGTACTAGATACATACATCCCAAATATTTTATATAATAGAGATATTATGAATAGCTTGTTTATGATTTTAGTAAAAGTTGGACAGAAATTAAAATACTGTTTTAATTCTTCTAGTTAAGACACGCTACAAATCATAACCTGGAGTTGATACTAATTAGCACTACTATAATATTTGCATACACATTAGATGTATTACTTACTAGCCAGCTTATTTATTATTTACTATCACTCCATCTCTTTTAAATTATTTCACAATATGATGAAATGCCTTTGTACTCGTATGGTTATTGTCATTGTGATCGGAACATATTTTGAGTTGTTTTCTAAATGTAAAAGTTTCCCTGTTTTTAAAAGTTATTGAATTATGAAGAATTTAAAGTAATGACACAAGTATTTAGACATAATAATTTAAATTTATACAATGAAAAATGTTTAAATAACTAATAATAATTCAGCTATTATAATATATTTAATGAGTATGTATTAGCTGTATGGCCCGGTGATTGATCGTAAACGTCTACTTTTTCCAGGAAATCCTCTGGCGTATGGCGGCCTGGCATTTGTCGTTACATAGTATACACCCCGTGCTCTGAAAATGTTATATATAAATTAAATTTTATAATATTAAGTGCCACACAATCGCATCAATGACTCTAGAACACCCTATATTATGAGGAATCAGAGACCAAACATCTAGAGGGACAACTCAGAATATTCAGAATTTAGCCAAATTAGAAAAAATTGTTTCTAGACCCGAGTGAGAATCGAATCTAGATCCGCATTACGCAAAGTATTGTGTCTACCTATTAATAAGGGGGGAAAGGGATTGTTAGTAATGGGGTCTAACTGACTCATTACTAGCAGGTCGACCTCCACGCAGTTCCCTCTGGAAACCATCGTGATTAATTCTAGTGGAATTCGTCACGATGGGTTAACTGACCTGCTTTCATCGTCACCTATGACCCTTCACTGATGCCCCGCTAGCGTATACCGATTGCGCAGGCGGGGTTACCATTCCATTATTACCCATTAAAAAAAACCTTTTAGTAAAGTAGCATTATTTATGAGTAAGTAATTAATATTGTATTTATTGATAGGTACATTTTGAATTTATCTTGACAAATAACTAACGTATGTAGTAGCAGTGTTTCGGTATAAATGGTAAGGACTATACTCGTATGAATGGTGTTAATTACAAGTTACTACCAGAGGGAGACTTTGTACAAAAGTCGATTGCGTGGATACCTCTGTCCTATTCGTGTATCAACCGTGAAGCAGTTGTGTTTGCATGGCTGTGTTTCGGTTTGAAGGGTGGGATATGGCGTGAATTTACTGGGTACAGAGGAATAACACCCGAGTCCTCAGGAATGGCAACGCATGGGGGGTATCATGGGCGAAACAGTATATTCTGTTATGTCCATGGTACTGCTCATGTTTGTAGGCGACGGTTACCACTTTCCATCAGGTGGGCCATCAGCTTGTTTGCCATTCTAAGTAGTATAAAAAAAAACTAAGATATAACACCTTCACCTGTAGAAATGACAACACACAGGAGCGTATCATACGGATCAAAATGTATTTTGTGATATTCATGGTGCTGTTCATCTCTTTGTTCACCAGGTAGACAATTAGTTGTTTGCTACATAAGTAGCAAAATAAATATACAATTATAAAATTGTATATTTATTTTTACATTTTCCACAAGGTCTGGTGATGATACTTACCTATGTGTAACATGTTCACCCATAAGTACATATTCTGAATCCTTCGGCTCGCACCAACCTATAAGATAGGAGAAAAGACTAGAACAGGGCCCTGCCCAGAATCCATGCGGACTGTTGATTGACTCGATAAAGTATGGTGTCACTTTTGTATGGTCACATGATAACGTCTCTGAAAATAGTAGAAATTTTTATTTTTATTTTTTTCATTTGTTGTTACATATCTTTTAAGAATAGATTCCATCATATCTTTATTTTTTATAATATTTAGAATAGCAAATATCAGCTGACAGATTATTTGATGGAAAGCGATAACTGTCGCCTATAGACATGAGTACTGTGGACATACCATTAATACTCACGGTACTTTTCTTTTTATTTTTATTTGTTGCCATTTCTAGTGATCCATATTCCGATTACTGACAATGTAATACCTATTTGCTTATTAACGTTATAGGCATTTTGTAATACTGGGCGAAAAATAATACTGGCCGAAAAATAATACTGGCCAGTTATAATACCTCTATACCATTAAATCAAGAAAAAGAAAAATATTCTATTTTTAAGAGAAATTTTTGGTCAACGTTCCAAATTTTTATCTGATAAATAATAATTTAAATATCTTTATTTTATTAAATTTTATATTCTAAAGTGCGTTATATAGCTTTCTAAGAATTTTGAGAAGAAGCTAACTACTGAAATCATAAGTATAAGGTAAGTGAGTTTGGTCTTACTTTGTTGTTTTTTGAGTTATTGGAGCACGGAAGATGTTTTTCCCGGGTTAGAATCATGTTTTATTTTGCCTACAAAATTTCTTTTTAAAACTGATACAATCCATATTCTGGTTCTCACAGTTACATATATATCACTTCATTCATTCAGGCAGATGACTTAAATATGGTTTTCCTACTTGTCTATTAAAGCCATCTGTTATTTGTTAACAATATTTAAAAGCATATAAGTAAGAAAAATAAAGGCTCAATAGCGAGAGAGCATTTCGAAAAACTACCAATTCAATGGTATTTGAAACCTTGCTAACAGCTCATACATATTAGTACAGTTATAAAACGAAAGAGGGCGTTATACAAAGGAACGATTGAAACTATCATTACGAATACTATTTTTGTTACTTATTTTGCAACCGCATATTCTTTTACTGTTTTATTATCTTTTAGTACCTACAAATTTTTTACTATATACGAAATTGGTTCTATATTATCATGGAAATTTACTTGGAGAAATTATGTAAATAGACAATTATAAGAAATTTCCATGTATGACATTATATGTAACTTCTTTAGAATTACTGATGCAATAAAAGCGCTAGGGATACTTACGAAATATCGTATCATGAGCACATCCTGGCTGACTAGAACCACCATTAACGTAAAAGTCAGCGTGACCGTTAGGCCCCCATTGTCCAAGTATACCAGCGCCCGTATGTAGAATGTCTACAAATAAAGCATCCGTATGGTCCAAGTCACGAGAACGGTTGTTGCCCATGTAGAAAAATATCGTTGGATCAAGACCTAAAAAAGTAACAAGTTCTTCATTAAAGAAAGTAGATAAATCAAAGAGTAATTACGCAATATGTGATTAAAAAATATTATAGTAAAAAATAAATATTATATTATATAGTTATATATAAAATTTAATGCCTATTGCTATATGTCCGTCTTTGGATATCGAACTACCATAAACGACCACTTGTTACATGGATATGGCACGTATATCTTGAAAGAATAGTTAATGAAGATAAAAAAGACTTGGAGAAATGGTATAAAAGGATCTAATAAATTTTGCAATATTTATTTATTATTTGCAATATTTTTTTGCAATAATATTGTAAATTTTATAGTTATGCCAAATATGTTGTAGATGATGTAAGTGTTGAAAGTTCATAAAGCAAAATATGTATTTAAAGATACATTAAATAGGATTCAATAGTATTAAATGTAGGTGTGTAAGGACATGGTAACTATTAAGCTATATACAGATTATTATCATATTATTTCCTAATTATATATATTTATTGAACATATATATATTCATTAGACGAATGCCTCTTATTATTATAATAAAAATTAAAAACGTGGGCGTATGTATTTGTCTTTATATATTTATAAATAATATTTCCTTCAATAAAGTTTACGAAAAATAAAAATAAAAATTATAATAATGTTTTTTTTTTTTATAATAAAATGGCAAAAAAGTTAAAGGCCCACTTGATGGAACGTAGTAACCGTCACTTATAGATATAAACAGCGCCATGCAAATTACAAAATACACTATTGTGACTATGGTACTACCCCTCTTACTTTGCCATTTCTGAGGACTAAAATTTTAGGCTTCCATACCCTGTAATTTCATTGCCATATCCCGTCTTTTAAATCGAAACGCAGTCATGCAAGCGTAGCTGTCAAATCAGAAATACGACTGGGACAGAAATACTCATGCAGACGACTTTGGTACAAAGTTTTTCTCTGGTAATGAACATATTTATGACTCACCGGTAATCCTTCCAAGTTTCCCATCACTGATGTAATTGGCTACGAGGCCCAATATATGTGCACCAACGCTATATCCGATAGTGTGAATCTTTTCTGGGGGGACAGGTTTTACTGGGTGATATTGAAGGTACTCCACCAGTTGAGCAATGCACAATCCCGCAAACCGTGGCGCCCATTCAATCTAAAATATAATAATGTAGATAGATAACTACGTGTACGATATTATCTTGACTGTTACAGTAATATAGTAATTTTATAAATAGCAAGCAATTGTACAAGTGTGATATATACATACAGGTTATACATGTACGCTCTTTATTAAATCAATTATCAAGATATATACTTTTTGATACAATATTATTATAATTAGGAAGTAATTTTGACACAAATAAAATAATAGCGGTCAAATATTAAGCAAAATATTAAAAAGTATTATTTTTGATAATACATTTTGTATATATAATGAAGAATAAAGAATAAAAAAAGGACAAAATCCTTACTAATATTAAAAATGTGAAAGTGAGTTTGTTTATTTGTTTGTTACCCTATAGCGTCATAACGGCTTATCCAATTATTATTAAATTTATTTTTTTTTTTTTAATTGTGAGGAGCTGGTGTCTGTAATAGGTTAAGACCTGTATGTAGTACAGATCACTAGGTCCCCAACCGATATGTGTTTAAATAATAATTAAACAAAATGCATTCCACTGAAATTATACAATTCAAAAATAAACTAATGTTAAAATAATGTTTTTAGCTCAGTATATAAATAAATACATGCGGATGAAGTCGCGTGTAAAAGCTAGTAATAATTATAATTTGTCATGACTTCTAAATATTGTAAATAGAAACCTGATAATACTTACAGTATTTAATGCGTTAATGCATAGGAATAATAAACTTTTGCCTAATGTCTAAAAGAAATGTCAAATTGACATACTTAAAAATAACAAGATGTTATATAAATGAAAATGTAGATATGTAGTCTCTGTTTTAAGTTGATGAATAATTCTTATGCAGTTTCACCGTTTTTAGGCACATGTTGATGATAAAAATTATATTGTTCTTAGATACACTTGGATAAGTTTACGCTTATTTGTCTCATATATTTGTGAGAGTAAGTTCATATTAACTCAGTGGACCGTTAGAAACAACTTTCCCTAATTGCTATTTTTTAAAAAACTTAAAATTTAAATCTCCAAATCTACTACCAGATTTACTACTTATTACTTTCCATTTTCAAAAAAAAAAATTATTATTTACTAATTAAAGTGTTTGAAAATAAGTTACTATTGTCCTTTACGTAAAATATTATATGGCAATGATTATTTAAAATGTTGTAACTAAAAATCTGTCACAAAAGTTTGCAAATTATTTCAAAGGTTGCTTTTGTAATTTACAAATATTTTTTGTCCATCAACTTTCAATCTCTCTTATATTATGATTAATGGTTTTATTAAGACCAGGCATATAAACTTTTCTTAAATATCTTCAACGTATAGACAACTATAGATAACTATAGACTAATGACAATTTTACTATATGTAGATATATAGATTTGATAAGTGGTACAATATTACTAGTTTTGTGATATATACCTCTGAATGTGGAATTAGAAAATTTTAAATAAGGTAATTAAATGAATCATAAATTGAAATATTTTAATATTTACAGATGGCAAATTATCTTAATATTCAGACTTAATATTAAATAAATATAAAACGTGAACAATAAAATACTTTAGAGTATTTTTATGTAAAACATTATACTATTATAGCATTGTTATGCTATAATAGTATGAGAGTGTGATCATGACCTAGTGGCATGCTACACGAAGCAGCATATAGAACAACAGCTCATGGAACGCAAAGTTTGAGAGTTTAAATTTGGGCTATTTTAAAAATTTAATTATATTTCTGGTCAAATCTAGAAGGTCAGGAAGATATATATATATATATATATATATATATATATATATATAGAATAGCAAGAAATATATAGAATTCGCCGTGTGTGTATCAGACTAGAATAGGGCGCTCGTTCCTTTCCTGTGGGTAACGTAAGAGACGACTAAGAGAGGACAAAGATGGGCAGCAGCGTTCCTCTTAAAACATTTCTAAAAGCTTAACTGCGGTTGCCAACCCGCCTGTCAAACGTGGCAACTACTGACAAAACTCCACTTATGGGGAAAGCTTATGTTCAGCATTGGAAAGTTAACGGCTGAAATAATAAAAAAAATATTAACAATATATAGGAGCGCACTCAAAACATCCAGGTATGAGCAAAGTTAAAAAACCTCATTCATTATATCAGATGTTATCTATCCACTGTTGAATAAAAACACCTCTAACTTCCAATTAGTGAGCATTATATTTATTTATATTGTTTACCTGACTGAGACATGGCTCTTTTACTAGAGATCCATAATCAACTATAATTATATTGTAGTTTCCTCTGGTGAAGTATGCGTTCCTCATATCCGTACTTGGAGATAGGTTCCTACCTCCGCCAAATCCATGGACAACCACTTTTGTAGGATGTCGGGGATTAAATTTCGAGTACGTAAGAGAATCATTGTCTAATGTATTCAGCAGCTCTCCTTTCTCTTGTGTTTTTCTGTAAATTGTAATAGATTATAAACCTATATTATAACGAAGATAGTATAGATATAGATTTGATATTTTTTGTATATATTACTGATAAAATATAGCGGTTTATATAGGTAAGTAGGTGTCTACTTATATTTTGTGATATTGGTGATACTATGATATAAAAGTATAAATAAGTGTCACATTATAATATATATTAAGCTAAAGGCAAATCGTATATACTATATTCCTACATTTTATTCTAATCATGGAATTTACAATTATCTTGTATGGTCTTCTATATTATAAATTGTTATACATACCTGGTATATAAATAAAATTGCATGTTTGGATGGGGACATTTGTAGGGTGGTCGAATGCACGAAGTTGTGTTAAATAAATCTTGTACAGATTGCGGTTTCTTATCACCGGTAGGCTTAGCTTGCTGCTGACTATCGGATACTGTAAAACAATAAAAATATAAGTTTATTTCAAGTAACTCGGAGTATCAAATTTTTTTGGACAATGAATTCAGATACAAAATAAGTAATTTTAATGGTCTGCCTGAAAAGATGGTCAGAGCGAGAGTTTTAATTTATATAAATTGTAAAAGTTAATTTTTCACAATACAAATAAGTTTTTTATATTATGTGGATAATGAAAGATATTTTTTCTTTTTAAAATAACCTCAACTAAGGTTAACAATATTTAAATTCATCAAATGTGACCTTTAGAATTACGACCTTTCATTCATTGTATACTGTTTAAAATACGTCATTCATTGTCATCTTGGAATAATAAATAAGGTGATGGAAAGTAGTAATTATATTAGTCTAGACTTGAAGAATATTAAGGCTTATACATATATGTATACTGAGAGGCCGGTCATATGTCAAGTGTTCTCATGTAAACTAAGATGTCTCCTATAGAAATCGCATTGACTATAATTCTTTTTATAATGCTCCTATTGCTATTTTACTCATGAGAGTCTATCTAAAGAAATAAAATTCTATCAAATTTATCTATAGATCACTTAATAGTTATTCATGGTTATAATAAACCAAAATTATTCCATCAGTAATAAGCGCCAAAAATTTCTATATTCAGTTTTTTTTTTTTGGAATATTGGATAACAATAAGTACTCGTATTGCAATCCAAATATTATTATAGCAATTTTTTTGTATTCACGTCTCTTTGTCTCAGTATTACTTAATTGTAAGATAATAGTTACCTACATATTTCAACCATATTTTATTGTTAATTAATTAGTAGTTGAACTTAAAAACTGGTGTGTGTTTTATCAGAATCAATTGAGCATATAAATAATTAGTTTAAATACTCTGTTGTGAAAGTAATATACAACGTATAAATTTACGAAAAATAACCTAAATGTTGAAAATATTATTATGTTTTTAATTGAATTCTCAAGGAAGATGGGTGATGTGTATAATATCTACAAAAGATAAGAATTAATTAGAATCCAATTAAAATAATTATTGATTACGTAATTCACTAATAACGTAAGTATTCAGGTATTGCTAGAGATGACTATCAAAATTTTCTTCATATGTTTTAGTATGTACAGCAATATAGGCGTGCGTAATTGTTTAAAATAGTCAGAGCGTGAACCGTACATAGGTTATCCATTTGTAAATGTGTTGGTATGTAGGTAATTGTTGGTGTATTGAGACAGATTAGGACACTTGTATTTACTAGTAATTAAATATCTACGTAGCTATATAAATATATAGATATATAAATTCTATTTGTATGTATAAAATGAAATGTAAAACTAGTTTTCTTGTTTACTTTGCAAGGAACTCGGCATGTACATAAAAACTGAATCTTAATAGTTCTAACTAAATAATTTAAAATTCTGTACTTAAAAAAAGACGATTTCAACATTGACAAAATTTCTATGGAATTAACAAGTTCGGCACCTTATACAGTACTGTTCTCACCTGTGGGCCAGGGCTGCTGAATACCAGCTTGAATCTTCTCTTGAATCGGTTTAAAAACGAGCTATGAGTCAACGATTTCAAGCACACAGGCGGTATCGAGCCCTTAAGACTAAGACGAGACTTTGTCTCCCTTTGTGTGTTCTACTGTTTATATAACGGATTGTGTCCTAAATTGTTTAAAATGATGCTCACAGCCACCTTTTATTATCGTACCGCTTGCCATTGCCAGGGAATTCATCCTCACACGCTTGAACCTAAATGGCTACATAGAGTGAGCACGGTTTCAAAGAAAATTTCTTCCGTGAATGCTTAGATTATGGAATTAGCTCCCTGCCAAGGTTTTCCCTAGAGACTATAGTATGGGCTTCTTCAAGAAGGGTATATTAAGGTCTCTTCAGGGTCAGCAACGTGTACGTGACACCTCTGGTGTTGCAAACGTCCATAGGTTACAGTATCTTTTTCCTATCGGACGGATTATTAGAATTTGTTAAATAGTAATAAAAATGACTATTGAATCATTTTTCTTCTAAAAATCACCACAACTTGCTTTTAAGCAAATAGTATTGAATTTTTAGTTCTTACCCTTGAAACTAAAAAATAGATGAGGTCGTCTTATAGTTCACGTTGACGAAATTGCATTTGGCTTTGTCGTAGGTGAGCTCTAGTCATATTTGTCTGGTGGCAAATATAACTTGATCCCTCACTTGCAGGTTAACATGGCGGTACGAGGTTAAACCTCTTGGACGCATACTAATGAATAACTAACAGGTCACACTTTCACCGTCCATTGATTCACTTTGTTTTCTATGCCATAATCGTTTCTACTATGATCTGGTTTACAGTTATTACATCACAGTTTAAATTAGCACATTTGAAAATATAAGTAGATTTAATTATCCTGTTTAATCTTGTCTATATATAAAGATAACCAAGAACAAACAACAACTTTTTTTTTCGTTACTCAATAATTTTGATATATACATGTCTATACAGTGTGAAATCGAAATCATCAGCATCCTTAATAAAGTACCTATTCTACGAGTAAAATTAAATACATTTTCTAAAAAGAATGTAAATCGGAAAACAATAAGAAACATTCCTTTGAGCTTACATATTAACAAAGTGGGTTTAGAAATCAAATTAAGTAAAATAGTTTTTTAGATTTTTTTGTTTTTGATCCACGTTTTTTTTTTTGGAATAATGTTCAGTTTTCCTGATAGAACATTCATTTAAAAGAGTGCTACAAAACAAATTTTGATTTCACCATATCGGTCTAATTTGGTTTATATATACACTACTAATTGCAACGATGCAATGTAACAAAGTAAAATGCTAATTAATCTTTACCCCAGAATTATTTGACCTATAAAATTATATTATTAACACAAAACATCTAACTGCATTGCATTTATAATCATAATTTGTAAATATATATATATATAAATATATATATATATATATTTATATATATATATATTTATATATATATATATATATATATATATATATATATATATATTTGTAAATAATAGCGAAATCCGTTAAAGAACATTTAGTGCTGATTATTAAATTTTAGGACGTCGCATGCGGTTTTTTTTATAGATATTTATAATATTGTGATAATTTATTAATAATTACAACTATAGTGTATATTAAGTTTATTACGCATATAATGTTTGTAGTGTAGAAATTATTGTTTTATTAGATCTATTAGACATATTGTAATATAAAACAATAAATTAACAATATGGTCACTTAAAACACATCTATGTATGTTTCAGTTTAAATGGTATTGAAAATTTTGGGCATTCACGTCTTAGTACACAGAAATAGCTTTACATGAGGTTTATTAAACATCGCAGTGTAAAATATGCATTATGCTATCCATGTGTATGGGTAATAATGGCAGGCGGGCTGGCAATCGCAGTTAAATTTGGTGATGTTTTAAGAGGAACGCTGCTGCCCATTCTTTAACCATTAAGTTCCCTTAGTTGCCTCTTACGACATCTACGAGAAAGGAAGGGGTAGTCTTTTTTTATGTAATCCCGCCCGCGCTTACGGTATATGCTGGCGGGACACCAGTGAGTAATAACAGGCGGATAATGAAAAAGCAGGTCAGTTAGCCCATCGTGATGAATACATCTGGAATTTCGCATGATAGTTTCAGGGGGAACCGCGTAAGGACGACCTGACTGGGTATATTTTTAGCAATGGGACTAGTAGCCTGCATTACTAACAATCCTTTCTCCCCCAGGAATGGGTAGTCGTTTTATGCCGGCACCGCACGGCCTGTATCTCGCAACTTCACCTGCGTGAATCAGTACAAATATCTTATGTGCTAAGTTAGGATATACCGTAGCCCTGTGTGCCAGATTGCATTCAAATACGTTTAGTAGTTTTTGCGTGAAAGAATAATAAACATCTTATTTTATATAGAAATAGGATTTATTATTATCAGTTTTTATATTCGTGATTATTAGTTAAATTATTCTTGGAATATATTGTTCTTTTAAAATAAATATATTCCTGTTATTACTATTCGGCGTCCTCTGATGTCAAAAGTTTTTAGGTCGTCTTCGTTACACACGTAGGCTCTGACGTAGCTTACAAGTAACGTGTCCTCTGATACATAAAACGAGTCGATACTAATAAATTTTAAACAATTCCTATATGAATTTAAAAAAGTCATATACGTATATTACGAACAAGTTATATATCATAAAAAGTTAATATATTCCATCTGATGAATACATTACGAAAATGTGTTACACGCATCGACGCTTGCTGTTATTAGTATCTAAGTAATAACTATGGACTATAAATGAAGGTAGACTTTCGTAATTTCCATCAGTGGCGTTGTCGTGACATATCGGACGTTGTGAAATAACTCATCCACCTTTATTCGAAGGTCATTCTTGCCCCATCCTCTATCGACCTCTATCATTTGATTAGGAGGTGTATAAAATTTAGTAACAACTAATTGTCTTTAATACTATGTCCGATATTTGGGCGTGCTATTTTAATCATATCTATATATGTAAGTATAGAACATATCATTTAATAATGTAATAAGTGGACGGAGACATCCTGACAATGAATGTTAAATATTGCAAGAACTTCCATAAAAAAAATATTGTGTTAAAAATTCGTACTATCCGGGCGGTAGGTACCTATATACCTATATGCATAATAAGACAGAGCATATTAGTAACGAGTATTCATATGTGTTAAAAAAATTGTTTTTCTCCTTTCTTCGGTTGTCAGGTAAAAATGTGTCATGATTTTTGTATGATTATGTAGGTAGTTCTAATTATGCCGTTCATCTTGAAGACTTTGAAGTGTAGTTATCAAAATTAGACATATAATTATTGTAACATTAACTAGTTGCACACGTTAATCGAATTTAACTTATGTATTATTTTCCCCTTCAGATTTCGGATAAATAATCAATTGTGATCAATCATTCAAAATCTGGTGGTGAATAGTGGTACAGATTAAAT